CTATTTACCCTGCTCAACTCCTTCCTCTACCCGAGGTCAGTGACTGTGTTAAAGCGCTTTCAAACATGCAGATCATCCTTTCTGATGATCTGGCTGCACTTGAACACCTTTATGTCTGAATCAGCAGCTTAGTTATTTGTCTTTAAGTAATGGCAGTAGGAATCTGATTATACCTAATAACATGTTTCTCTCTTTTAACATAACACAAGTCTGAAGGTCATGCAGTCATATTAATGAACACATCTTTAGCCCAAAAAACAGATAACAGAGAGCCTTGTTGCCATGGTGTCGTGAGAAATCTCTGATCCTATACTATATTATTTGTCACGTGAACTTTTCGTGAATGTCTGCCGCTCTAACAGACGGATGTTTATTGCCTATTAGAGGACGACGATGTGTTGAAGTTGATTTGCTTCGACACATCGTCGTCCTTACAGGATGTCTGTTTCCCGATGGTGCTCTGTAAACGTATACTCAGACTGTTGCTCTGTGGTATATTTTATGATCTGTTAGATCCTTCATGGTTAACTGTGTTGCAACTGTGTGTGTTTCAGGATATCGGAGGCGATACGTATCGCAGGTAGCCTTGTTTTCATCCTGCTGCTCTTCATCCTCACAGCGGTTTTGGTCAAAGTGCCCATGGAGGAAGACTGCTTCTTCTCGGTCACCATGGCTACTATCTGGTTCATCAACTGTAAGTCAGTGTGCTTCTATGTATATGTGGGAGACAGATGTGTTTGAGTGATAAGATGCTACAATAAAAGCCCCCTTTTTTCCTCCCTCGTCAGCGTTTGGTGCCGTGCTGCAGGGCAGTCTGTTCGGTCTTGTGGGGATGCTGCCTCAGAAGTACAGCAGCATCTTCATGAGTGGCCAGGGCCTCGCTGGGACATTCGCTGCCATCGCCATGCTAATAGCCATAGGAAGTGAGTCACTTACATCCACACAAGCTTCCAGTGGGCTCCTAATCCTCAGTTGCTTAGTAACCAAGGGCATTGAAAATCAACGGGAGCAATCAGCATGACACCGCACAGCACACTGCTTTCAAAGAAACCTGAGCACACTTGGTTTTGTTGAACGCTTTTTTTTCTCTTATATTTCTGTCCCAGAATGCTTCAGTAACTCTGCTTTGTGTGCGTTTGTCACTCAGGTAAAACGGACCCTGAAACGGCAGCTTTGGGTTACTTCGTCACGCCGTGTGTGGGGACGTTGCTCACACTCTTCAGCTACTTGGTGCTGCCACGCCTGGTCAGTCAGCTGTCCTCTCA